TCAAATTTTCAGAACACTGATAAAAAATGTCAAATTGTCAAATTAGCTGACACATTTTTTATCAGTGTTCTATATACTTACGCAAATAAGGTATGTTGACGTATCTGTATTTAATTATTTAATAAATAAAATGAGTTTTTACGCATTAAAAAGATGCAAAAATTTTAAAACAAAATAAATATAGAAGTTATAAAGGAAACGCTCATAACTATTTATCACGCAAATTTGTACGAGAAAGTTAACCCGCTTTTCTTGAAGCTTTTGTACGCAGACACTCTATCTATATAATCTAAGCCTATTGCCATCTCCATCCTATATGGTACGTATATATCAAATTTCACAGTGATTGGTTAAGCAACAAAGGCACTATAAGGTAACAAATAGGGCTGGGTAATATAATGCAATATCTATATATTTTAGTTACAATATCTATATACTGGCTGATAATAACGAATATGTTAAAAGTTTGTTATTCGAAAATAGATATTGGATAACAGACTTTTAATATATTCGAAAATAGATATTCGATCGATATTGACGATATCGTAATGGGTGATACCGTTTTTTCCGACATCAATGTCTACAGAAATCCAATATATAGATATCGGATCGTTATCCATATTATCTATGCATTAGTAACTATTATTTGTTTTTGATAAATTGACAGAAAATGTCGGCGTTGTATACAGTAGAATGAACGCTTTACCCATGAAAGTATTTTCATTTTAGATTTATAATAAAATGGCGTTGAAGCGTAATATTAAATATAGTTAGAAAAGTAGTTATGGGTGTATTGTACATGCGGCACTGAAGTTAAAACGATAGTTTTTGAACATTTTCAGCGGTTCACGTTCATGGCTAAATTAATTGTGACGATATTTTAGATTTACAGAATATTATTTTAAATAATCTAAATAAACCTATATTTTCCAGGTGTAATGTTTGTGGGTACATCACTAATGTGAAATATAATTGTAAATGTGTACCTACCTCTCAACCAGGATTGTTATTCTGTTGCCGACATTAAAAACGTATAGCGTGATAAACTGTGTATATTTAAACAATATCCCTAAACAGTATATTTTAGCGACGGTGTATCAAACTCAAGCGTGTATGTGTATTTAGTCATTCAGTGTAGTATAACTAAAATGGCTACTAAGAGAAACTTGAAAAAAAAAACCTAATTATGATTTTTCGGAAGGCCATCTATTATCGAGTGATTGAGAAAAACAAGAGAGTCATGAACCTATACTTCTTACTTCTAATTGACAACGGATGGCTAAAAAATAAAACTGAGAAAATATGTTTTACAAAATTAATTGCGATTAATTCTAATTATTTATGAATTTTCAACCGACTTCAAATAGAAATAGGTTCTCAATTCGGTTGTATTTTTTATTTTTCATCATCATATCAGCTGTCCGCTATTAAATATAGACTCTTATAAGGAACAAGTTGTTTTTTATGGTAGTTTACCATTGGGAAGGTTTTGCATGTATTTTTTTATTTTTGTTACTTCATAACTCCGTCATTTGTAAACTGATATAGAAAGTTCTTTTTTATTTGAAAGGATACACTTACAGATTGTTTCCATTGAAATTTTATTAAAATCGTATAAGTAGTTTAGTTTAAAAAAAAAATTGGTTTTGTCACAACTGAAATACTTTTTTTTGTGGGGCACAATCTTAATAATTTATGTTACTTGTTGTGAGGGTGGCGTCCTCTAGTGTTAAGAATTTGTAAACCGCCTTTCTTATATACGGCCTTGGTTTATTACTAATAGCACATGCGAATGAAATCGCGGGCACAACTACTACGGAATATAAATATTACATTGCAAAATTTTTCGACTCTGTCCGCGGTATGTGTACAATACTATGTGCAAATGCAATTTATATTCAGAGGATGTACTTATGTACAATTACAGTGACGATTACGGTAAACAACTATGACATTATTGTATTTTATATACATTAATACGTATTTATTCTTTATTTTACAAATTAACATTCGAGCAACTGTGTATGGTTCACCTGTACTCAGCGGCGTGTACGAATTAGGATAAAAGCTGCCTCTATGTATAAAGTTGTTGTCTATCTGTGTATCAAGGTAATTGTGTAATTGTGTATTTACCAGAGGGAGACTTTGTACAAAAGTCGATTGCTTGGATACCTCTGTCCCATTCGTGTTTCTACCGTGAAGCAGTTGTGTTTGCATGCCTGTGTTTCGGTTTGAAGGGTGGGATATGGCGTGAATTTACTGGGTACAGAGGAATAACACCTGAGTCTTCAGGAATGGCAACGAATGGGGGTATCATGGGCGAAACAGTATACTCTGTTATGTCCATGGTAATGCTCATGTCTATAGGTGATGGTTACCACTTTCCATCAAGTGGGCCGTTAGCTTGTTTGCCATTCTAAGTTGTATAAAAAAAAATCATTTAAATCCAGTAAGAAGTGTGCGTGATTCTTAATGTGAAATTGAGTTTGTTTGTTACATTTTGACACCATAATGGCAAAACTAATCATCATGTAATTTGTTATACACGTATTATTTGTAATGGAGAGCTCATACACTCTTTATTTCTGTCAATCAACATATACTTATCATGCAGATGAAATCCCGAGTGAGAGCTAGTGTTCAAAATAAAACAATCTTAGATTATATAGATAGAGCATATAGCCTCAAGAACGGGTTAACTTTTTGTCAGCTAATTGCAGCAAATTAGCTGACTAGTTTTTTTATCAGTGTTCTTTATACTTACGCACATGAAATATTTGATCTTGTCTTATTCATATTTAATTATTTTACGAATAATAATATTGAGTTTGAGGATGGCAAATCAATGCACCTGCCCGACATACGAGAACACCGCTATTATCTTCAGAAAAATAATTGATTTAAGGAAACAGGAAAAAAGATTACATTTTACAAACGAGACTTTTTCGTTTAAGTTAATATTGGTTTCATTAAAAAAATCTTTTTTGTATAACTTGGAATGGCAAAAAAGCTGACGGTCCTCTTAATGGAAAGTGGTCGTAGTCTATAAAAGAACAGTATTACTGTGACCACATGGTACCCCTCATCATCATCAGATCAGCCTTTAAGTGCTCACTGCTGAACATAAGCCTATCCCTTGGGGGTTTTGCTAGTAGTTTCCATGCTTAGTAGGCAGATTGGCAATCGCAGTTAGGCTTAGAAGATGTTTTAAAAGGGACACTGCTGCCCATCCTTCGCTCTCTCTTAATCGCCTCTTACGACACCCACGGAAAAGGGAGAGATGGCCTATTCTATACTGGGACCACACTGCAACGCATGAGGCGTTGCTATTATTAAGGACTAGGGTATATGACATCGTTCAAACTGTAACACAGCTATACAAGTGTAGTTGCTTGGTTACAGAAACACGAAAGGGACAGAGGTCTCCATGCACATGACGTTTGTATAGTTTCCAAAGAATTTTTAATTTTCAAGTTTTAGATTTTGCTGTATTATTATGTCTAATATCTTAAAATATCTGATTATTCATAGATTAAACACAATAAAGTATTTACAATAATGTTACGACCGCTGTTAATTGCCAATACGGTAACAATAATTTTAAATAGTTAAAAGACACTGTATTTTTGTAATAGTGAAAAATTAAATGGTAACTCTGCTCTATTAATAAGTCCGTTAAAATTTTTTTTTTCTTTTTCTTGATCTATTATATTTATTAATTTGATCTATATATCCTATTTTTTATATGTAATTATAAATGGTCGATACCAAGTTAATCTTTGAAGAATTCCTTCTTTTCAAATCTTTTCAGTAATATCTTTTATCATTGAGTTTAATTAAACCTATTATTTTATATCTTTTCTTTCATTAATATAAAAGATATCATAAAGTGCAAAAAACAAAACAGAGTTAAAATATTAAATGTCTATGTAAATTAATGTAAATTTATGCAAATATGGACGTTTATTTCCCACATTATGTTATATTAGTCATTACAATATAGTAAATAAAATCTAAAGTGGTGATCTTGCACGCGTGAGTTTCCGGATCAACATGGTTTCTGTGACAATGTAAAAACACATGAAATGTGATTTAATTGTACAAAAATGACTAAGGGGAATTAAACATTTTACATGACTAATTTATTACGTACTAATTTATTACGTACTAGCGATCCGTCTTGGCAACAGTAGATAAAATTTACAAAAATAATATACAGCCGCCGATAATGTAGCTTTTTATAGGTGAAAGAATTTGAAAATAGTTTGAATAGTTTTTGACTTTATTCAATAATTAAGTGATGGCCTGTCTTTGCATGGGTGCAATTTAGAAAACCTGTTTCAAAATTAATTGTGGTCTATTATAATTATGGATTAATATATGTGTAATAATATAAATTCCAGAGAATATAGTATATATATATATATATATATATATATATATATATATATATATATATATATATATATATATATTTTTTTTTTTTTTTTTATTCCACAGTGACAAATAAGCATACGGCCCTCCTGATGGTAAGTGGTTACTGTAGCCTATGAACACCTGCAATACCAGAGGTATTACGTGTGCGTTGCCGACCCCGAAGAAACCTCTTTACCTCCCTTTTGAAGAACGCCATGCTGTAGGCTCTTGGGAAAACCTCGGCAGGGAGCTCATTCCACAACCTGAGTGTTTGTGGGAGGAATGTTAAATTGTATTGTTCTATGTATTCTATAACTACTACCCCTCTGTCGACAAAAAAATAACTCAACATATATATTTAAAGATATAGAAATTATTTTATTCTTCTTTTTTATGTCTTTACTATATAAAAAAATTCTATACATCTAAATTTTTTTTATCATTTATTTGTAATTAATAGTGCAATATTAATATCAAATATAAATTAATGTAATTAATGCTAAATTAATAGAAATAAAATATTCCTTAGAAAAACGAAACAGTGTGGTCCCACTGCAATCAAGTGAATTAGATATCTATCAGTTTGACCAAAGGCTGTATCAGATCAGTATGCGTACACAAGCGGCGCGCGCGCACGTATTCGCCATGACTACTGTCGGGGCCTTGCTCACGATAACATGCGCCGTCGCGGCTGCCGCCTCTAACATCGATCTGAATAACACAAACATCGACAATAATGTTATCAAACGTATAGTAACAGTATTAAACTCGAACAGAACTTTGAATTCTAGGGAATTTGCTTTATTAAACCGAACGGCGGTAAATCTTGGCATCGAGAGCGAAATGTTAACGAAATTGACCAGTTTAGTAAAACAAACGTATGAACAACCAAATCGAGATACAGCCTCTTATGCTTACGAGGAAGGAAATAAAGGCTCGTTACCGGTTGAAGAGTCTCCAGATTACGCTTCATCTGTAGTTCTCGCCAGTGATCTTTTATCCCTGACTTCTGCTGTTGCGAACGTTAAGGAAAACGTTTGTCGAGAACAAGGATACAAGTTCTTAGACGGATTGCTGTTGAATAAACGATGGGCCTTAAAAAGTAAGTATGATTTTTATTTTTTTTTAAAAGTGGTGATGAATGGTAACGTTTATAGTATTATTAGAAATGTTTATAAACTCAGTCGATACTTGAAGTCCTCCGTTAACTTTCGCGTGTAATGAATATACTGAAGTTCGTCATGGAGCTTGCTAAATGGGAATCTGTAAAGTTTTATATTAATAAAAGTTGAATGAAATTTTATCTCTGATGAGGAAGCAGGAATACAATGTGTCATAATTTTTTTTCTTTATCTTCAGGATGTTATAAAGACAATCGCTAGTATCTACAATTAAATTTACAACCAAATTATTACGATACTATTTTATTAGGCTCTTGCCAGTGGCAAACTATTGGGGATATCGGAAGGGGACTCTACCCCGGGTTTTCGATCGTAGACAGCCTCCATTTTCCCTTATCCATATTCTATGTATGTTTCTTTAAGTCTAATTAAAATTTCATTTGCAATACAAATGTGAATTGAATAAAAAGCTTGTAAAATTAAATTAATTTTTTAAACTACGATCTCATTTAGTTTCACCCCGGACTTAAAAAGTCTTAGTCCTCATTGGCTCTTGCTTTTCTTTAAGCAGATTAATACTGTCTATATGTCTGTCTGATGTTTCTTAATCGAATTGTTCTTATGAACAGCACCAAGAACACAGCGTTTGTTACTTATGAATCTGATTGCGCTGACAATGCATACAAGACGAATACAAAATAATTAGTAGTTACGTGACATTAATATAAACAAAGTATGTACAACAAACAAGCATTGTTTATGAATAATTTAAGGGTTTGCTCCACAAAGAACTGGTGTGTTTAATCGCAATAAAATTAATCGGGAATGCACCTAAACGATTGCAAAAATAATTGGTGACCCTCATGGTGCAATGGTGAGCATGTTGCTTTGTGAAAATGAGGAACTGGATTCGATTCCCGGTCAAGCTAATTTAGAAAACGAGTTTATTTAAATAGGTCGGGTTTGGCTATTCTGGGTTCTGTCTCCGTATGTTAATTGTCTGGTTTCTTGTAACACAGGGCGTTTTATCTCGACCGTAAGGCGATTGGTGTGAATATGTAACATAGTAAAAAAATAGTAAAATCGGTTGGGAATTGCAATAACATGTATAATAAATAATATTAGCACGCTACCCGCTGGTAATTAATGCTCCTTTCCATTCAAGGTTTGCTGGAAGAGAACTCTTACAGAGTTAAGCTCGCCTTTTGTATATCTTCATTTAATATAAACTATATCAATGTAATTTTTGTTTACAATAAAGTATAAATAAATAAAATAAATAAATCAGGAATCTTCTTTCTGTTTTAAAGAAGTTTAAAAGAAAAAAAAACAAATTAAAACAACGAAATTAACTACATCTCCAGAAGACAATTATTTAGTATAAATATACTCGTTACACAATATAAAAAAAGGCGGCTTCTCTTTCTCATTTGCATAATATGTATAAACAGGGCACTTTAAACAGCCCGTGCTTTGTTTTTATCGGGCGACCAATTTTCATAAGCCCGCTGGCTTGAATCCCGTAATGAAAACCGCTAGAGTATCGTAGCGATTCAGTCGTTGAAACAATTTGTCGTCTCAGTCTCATCCTTGAATACTGCCGATTTAAAAATTGCTCGGTCGTAATGTCAACAAATCGTTTCCGTATTGAGTGATCCATTTATAATATTTAAAATAATTTATTTATTAGCTAATATTTTCAAACTACTTAAAAAAGGAGGATTCCAATTCGTTTGTATTCTTTTTTGTGTTTATTATCTCATAACTCCTTCAATTGTGCACCGATTTGGAAAATTCATATTTTTTCTGAATGGACATATATGTACTTATAGATTGCTCTCGCAAAATCGGTTCCGTAGTTTAGTTTTTAAATGAAAATAACTGGTTTTGCCCTAATTGAAGATGGTTTTTTTTTGTGGAAAACAATCTTGAGTGTATTTGTGGATGAAAGTACTGTAAGCTAGTATGGAAACGCGGTTTCTTAGAAAAATAATATAATTACAAAAATATATACAAAGCAAACATTGGGAGAAAAAAAGCAAACGAACAAAAATAAATGACAATTAGTTCAAAATTAATCAATGATACCAAAAAGATGCGTCATTCATAGTATTTTTTATACACATATCTTATTCTAATACGTATATATGATAAATAATTATAGAATCATTAATTTATTTCTTGGTTGACAAGTCAATTTTGTTAATTGACTTATCAACTAGTTTTGAACATGATTTCGATCAAATGATTTTTCATCTTTAATGATATTTAATGAGAATCAAAACTGAGGTAGTAAATGAACTAGACAGTATAAAAAATAATTTTAGATCTGACTTCAATCTCTACCGTTAGATCTGTGAATAATTATAAATTTTAGCAGTCAGACATAGTCTAAGCAATCAGGCATACGTCACTAAATCCTTCACGGCAGAAGTAGCTCCTTACGTCATTTCAGAGAAAACCTTATAATTTTGTATATGTATAAATATGGAGCTTCTAGATAGCCACTTTTTATATTTTAATAATAATAATAATAATCTTTATTTCAAACAGTAGATTACAAAATTGCTTAACAACGGTCCCCATATGGGTCGAGCCTGTATCTGGGGAACCTATTAATATTAATAGATATTAAGCATGGTATACTTGTGTTTCTACTAAAAGAAGGGTGTTAACTTACTCACCACTCCTGAGGAGTTAAAAAACATCGCTGCAAAAAACATCTTCAAATTCCTACCATTGATAGGAATTAGCAGCAAACTTAAAAAAAAAAACAAAGATCATGGAAAGGTTGCCGTGTTACAGGTTTTTCTGCCTGGAAAAAGCCTGTTTTTCAATAATACTAAGTACTATTACCATCATTTTAACGTAATTTCATCAATGCATAACGCCATATGGAAATCTACGGCACATCTCCGTTATTCCATTATTAAATGCAACATTGACTAAACAGACGGTATGGATAAGTAGCGAACTGGTCATCAGACACTCATCATAATTACAAAACAATCATAATCATCTAATAGAGCCAGTGACAGAAACAATGGCTAGATTGTGACGTAAATTATGTTTGCCCATTGTAGATATCCACTTAATATACCGTTGTATTACTGTTTAGTCTATCTCTATGAAGATCAATGAGAAAAGTAATTGGAAATCTAACGAAAATACGATCTAAGTAATGAATGAATGAATGAATGAATGAATGAATAAATGAATGAATGAATGAATGAATGAATGAATGAATGAATGAATGAATGAATGAATGAATGAATGAATGAATGAATGAATGAATATTTATTTGCAATGTATTCTGAAATCTAAATTACTAATATTCTTTTAAAGGACTATTCCAATATTAAAATTTAACATTTTCGGTTTATGACGATATAATATCAACTGTTACTGTCCGCTGCCTCCTCCTATTGGGGGGTTTTACTAGTAGTTGCCACGCTTGGCAGACGGGTTAGCAATCGCAGTTAGGCTTTGGTGATGTTTTAAGAGAAATGCTGCTGCCCATAGACTATTAAGTTTCGTTAGTCGCTTCTTACGACACCTACTGGGAAAAAGGGATGGGCCATTCTATGCCGGGACAACACGACAAAATCGGTCTATGCTAGTTGCTCATAATCGTTAAAAGGTCATAATGAGTATGCAGGTATTTAATGTGTCTATTCTTTAAATAACTATTAATAGAATAATATAAAATTGCAAGTAAAGTAATATATTGTAATTGTAGTATCAACTGTAATCTCTATTCGAGTTCTGATTGCCTGGTATTTTATAAGGTGGTACGTTTACAATGGGTACAGACTGTTAATATTGTATACAAAAATAATAAAGAGGTCCGCCCCGAGCCTTTCACTTAAATCCTAAGAAGTGTTAAGAAGACCTGAATGGTGATGAATAATTAAAAAATAACAAAAAATATATTTGCTATCAAAACTGTCGAACCTTTAGTTTTTGTTGTTTATTGATAAATTTTCCTTATACCTTTATTCCTTCTTAACTTAGAATTTCCTTATAAATGATTAGACACAAAAGTACCCTCTACCAGTGCATGACAAGTAAAACTTAAAATAAAACAAATTACATCAATTGACCATTTAACTTTAATGGGAAGGGATTTGCATTTAGCATAGTAAAAACTTGTTATGGTTAATTGATAGATTACGAGTATTCACTAATATATTCAGATTGATTTTTATGTCATTCATTTTTATTCTCGAATTCTTATTTTGATCGTATCTAAATGTATTACGATTTTATTATCATTACTAACTTTTATTTCAAGTTAATATACTGAAAAGACTGTTTTATTTTTCATGGAGAGTCGAGGTTAGATATCCACGGAATGTAATATCATGAAGTACTCGTAAATGCCTTTATAAAAATACTATTCGCATCGACATGAGAGAAACATTCCGTAATTTGACGTGGGAAAATGTTTTTTCCAGAGCGTGGAGTGAAGACGTCATCAGATATATTATGAGTCTTTGTATTATGTTGTTAATGTTTTGGGAGTGCTTTGATTTGCTATGTCGGTTAGTTTGTTCGCGTGACCTGGATATGTTTACTGACCGGGATGAAAAGTAATAAGGCCTAACCTAAACCTAATAAACTTCTCTATCCCATATACTCGTAGTATGTGTGTACTAAATTTCATAGTAATTGCGTTAAGTAACTTATAAATAAACAAACTCACTTTCACATTTATAATAATAGTAAGGATTGTCTATATAACAGTTAATTACAAGTCCTGATTGTAGTGTAATATAAGCTAAGAAGTATAATTATTAATTATAATAACAGTATAATTAAATCTGTATAATTATATATTATACTTATGGAATTGTTTATTGCAAAAATAAATATTAAATTATGTTAGGCTAGTAGGTTATTTTGGCCACTCACGATAACAGACTGTTATTGTGAGTGGCCAAAATAATACTTCGAATCGGTTAAGAATATCTATTGTAGT